AGACTCTCAGAAAGCGGGACAAAGGGATCCGGAAGCGGAGTTTGAATACGCCACATGCTGCATCTCGCTTGAGAGGGCTCGGTTGTGAGGGGGACAACATATTTAAAAAAACTTTTTCGACTTTTCAGCCTTCGCGGTGGGAGCTCATGCACATGTAGGGGGTGCCGCTTATGGTTCGTAGGCCTTAGGCCTCTCTAGCGAGCTTGCCACGGCATGCTTACAACTGGCAGCGCTATGCCAGCCAGTGGATACAGCAACTTCACCGGGGTTGGCTTCAATTCAGACAATCAATCCGCTTGATAATGAAACAGACTTTAAAGACTCTGTATAATTTACGTGATATGCACTAATGCAATAAATATCAGCAAATAATATTAATATTAGGATTAATATCTGTGTATGCTGTGTGACAACGATTACTATTGCGCAAGACACGGCTGAGACAAACACTGAAGTAGTTTTTAATTCTAATAATAAAAAATTAACTAGGAAACGATCACCAAAAGACTCAAAAATAGCAGCGAATCTTATGAAGGTGCACGTTCAAAAAAACTGTATGCTACTAAAGACATCGGTCCTTCATGCTCATGCAAAAAGATTGTGGCATAACATTTTCTATGGAGCAACTACAGGCGATATTTGACACTTTTTTATAGACTGAAAGATCATGAACTCCAATGGCAATATATCGTGAGACACGTTCAAGCACAACCCGTGAAACGCATCACTTTAGAAAGAAAAAATAACAGGATACATACCATTTAATATTATTTTAAGCAGGACCATGCATCTATTCAAGTTTGTATTTTGTATTTTTATACTACGTATTACAGAACAGGTAGTTTTACAGCTCAAGAGAAAATAGCGCAGGACGAGACCCTAATTAGACAACAGAGGAACTCATTACAAAAGACCTCTGGGATGTCCGTCAAAAAAATATAATGACACATATGGAACACAGATGGAAACAGCTCATTCCATCTGTTGAATCTCATAATACACGTAAGAGATCCAAGCGCCAATATTTATCTGAATAACTACACCTTACTAAAATACTACACCTTGCTAAAATGTATCGACTGTATACCGTATGGTTTCTAAATCAACAATATACACCAGAACTATTTGCATCCAAACGCCAAAACGAATCTGTATTTAACACACAATATAATTACACATTTTTCAAACCAAAAAAGATCTATGCGGAACGTGCTCGTTGTATGAATAAGCTGAGAAAGCTAAATTCGAATAGAAATATAAACAGTATTTACTACGAAAGGCTAAAGTACGCCAACTAAAAGATGAAGAAATAGGTCGCTATTTCTTCATCTCAACAGACAAGACTTGACTTTGAGTCCACTGCTCTAAATAGGCCCCCCCATAGACTGTCACGAAGTACAATCCTGAACCACCTGCATCCATCGACTTGCCGCACATTTGCACAGGTCGTCACTCTATCTAGTGCGGGATCGTCTTGCACCGTGATGCCCAGTACGAGGCTGCCACCTCAAGAACCCTTCTTTCCCAACGGTTATCGGTTCTACGAGATATATGGCCGGCCCATCGCCACTTCCGCTTGCTAATCTTCTGCGCTATGTCGGTTACCTTGTTTCTTCTGCGGATGTCTTGGTTAGGAACTCTATCACGCAGAGAAATACCGGGCATAGCCCGCTCCATAGCTCGCTGAGCGACTTTGAGCTTCCTCATACGGCCAACAGTGAAGGACCGCGTCCCGGTTCCGTAGGTCATCACTGGCAACACACATTGATTGTAGACTTTTGTCTTCAAACATTGAGTGATATTAGACGAGAAGATATGCCGAAGTTTCCAAAGTATCTGTACACGTGTGCGGGAAGTCGATGGATGCAGGTAGCTCAGGATCGTGCTTCGTGGCAGTCTGTGGGAGGCCTAAGTTCAGTAGTGGACTCAAACAGGCTGCAATTATGATTATGATTCAACCATTTCCTGTCTTTCCCTTAATTAACGGTTTTCTTTCATAAAAAGCTATCGTTTTATTGAGAATCATATTTCAAGTAACTGATATTACTTTGTAGATAATACGATAAGACAATGGTATTCAAACAAAACTTTAATATGTAACATACATTACATGCGCGAAAAACCCCCTTTTAATTTATTACCGTTTATGTTTGGTTACCTTTCATTAACGAATAAAATTGTGGTATGCCATTATTGTTCATGGCATCTATTTTTTTTTTACACGAATAATATCGTAATATTATTTTGCAAATAAATGTTTTGTCTAGCATTTATAGTAAAAAATGTTTTCTATAATAACTTTATTTTAAGAAAGTACAAAATGAATAACTTTGTTTAAAATGATGTAATAAAAAATTACCTTTCATTTGATATATAATTCATCCTCATAAGTTAGACAATCTTTAAAATAATCGTCAAAATACACTCTTTTATTTTTCCTGTAAAATTTTAATTTATCGATAACGATATTATTCGGTTAGGGGAGCGACATGTACAAAGTTTCATAATAATCGTTTCATAATAATTACTACACTCATCGAGTATATGCTAAAATCGAACTTTTTACACATATTTATGATTAGAATAATATACAGCGTGTCTTTACCATTGCGACAATAAATGAACACACGTCTAACGCTACTTGCAAATAATCATAAAAAAATATTAACGTTAAAATATCCATAATTAAAAAAAATATATTTTTCAAACAAACTAATTAAGTAAAAAAGAAACAAAATTTGTAACACCTATACAACTAGGTACAACTGACTGATTCATACATTCAGAGACTTTTTCATTCGTTGCCACAGCGTCGCATTACAAGCCTCTCCTTCTAACAGTATGTTTTGTTTCTTTTAAATTCATTCAACCCATTCATATTCTTTGTGAATTTTACAAATGAACTTTACGTTACAGTTTTATACGTAAGGGTTTTCTAAAATTTTTTGTTTTGGAAAATTTAATAACTGTAAATATTGATGTTTAAAGAATGTAAATGTTTAATACAATTTTAAAAAGTTATACTCTATATGTGTGTTTATTTATTGTCGCGATTGTAAAGACACGCTGTATATTTACCGGGTTGCCTATCAAAATGTGGCTGCTAATATTTTTAATTAAATTATTGTTATTGATTTTTGGGAAAAAATTTCATTCACTTGTTTTTTGAATAAAATATGGACACTTCACGGCAATATACATAAAGACTGAAAAATCAGGGTTGCCGTTGCGCACTTGGCCGCACCTCTTCGCAGCCAGGTGTGGTTCTGATAAGTTTTTACGTTCATAACGTAAATTTATTATCTATATTATATAAAATTAAAGCTATTTTTTTTTTTCTGTTTATTATGCTATAGGTTGCCTAATTAAATCTTGCCGCAAATAAGGGTTGCTGACTAATAAAGATCGTAAATATTTAAGGTGAGTGTAAGAGAGCTAGCGCGTAACATCACTAGTCACACGAGGATAGCGATTGCCAGCTGTACGACGCTTTAAAGCCATTGCGCATGCTTCGAATGCCAGTGTTCTCAACCATCGGGACAGGTTCAAACAGTTGTAGGGATGACTTAATAAATACTCCAAAAGGAATGTTTTCTTTTTTTTATGTGAAAAGTTGCCAAGCGAGCAGGTGGTTCACCTGATGTTAATTGAATACCACCGCCCATGGAAATCTGCTACACCCAAGGGTTTGCAGATGCGTTGAAATGAGGAGTATTGGAACAAAAAACAATATATCACATATTACATTTTTTACGTAAATTAAATAATAATAGGTACATATGTCCATGGATTTCCAATTTAGAGATGAACAAAGTTTACTTGTATATAGTTCTTGTTATCACTGTTTTAATATCAAAATCACAGTTTTACTTATGTGTGCAGAATTTGATGAGAAAATTTCTCATAAAAAAAAAAAATCTTTTTAATGATCAGAACGATCAATTCAAAGAGGCCTTTGACTACTCAAATGACATTTGAAACGCCATTTGTCAGCTTATGACAGAGACGCGTAAATTGGTGCAGTTATTCTTTCTTCTAGGACACAAAACTATTAGACAATTCAATAAATTAATACTGCTGTTTTTTATTTCAAAAATATTTATTTCACAAAAAAAAAGATAACAAAACATTTTTCTTAGTTACAACGCGCAAAATCAACGAGCATCAGCGAGTCACCAAACAATGATCACAGATAATATTTACCATTAAAGGAGAGTAAAAAATGCCAGATATAATGTGTTACCATATTTTAATACAACCAAATTATGTCCTGACAGTTATTAAAAATAGCTATTAAAAATACCTCGACAATTTTATTAATATATTGAAATAACATCATCTTGCATTTTATAGTATATATATAGGCACTTTACCCGTTCAAATGTGGAAATGTGAGTTAACAATATAGGATATAATTATCAAAGCATTTTCATAAGTATTAAAAGACACGTATATCACTTTTTTTCATGGCCATATCATGGTATAATCCATTAAGATAAAACACATTAAATTTGTTTATTTACCTGTTGTTAAATATTTATATGTCTATTCTATAAACATGCCGGTGTGTCCTCTTACAGAGTAACAAATTTGAAGGAATAAAGCTATGAGTATGGTTATTTAAAATATCTCAACCATTATCATTGAAGTGACACGACATGAATTAATGTAACAAAATTTTTCTTAACAGACAATAAAGATTCTTGTTAAAGTACTAGTTTGTTTTGAAAAATACTTTGTGCTGAATAGAGAAATTGTTAAAATAGATGAATTCTTAAACACAATGATTTACAAACTGTTTTATTTTTATTCCAAAGGCATAAAAAGGTATTAACCATAACATGTAAAAAGCGAGCATACAGTCAGGCTCAATAGCAAGTAAACCTCCAGATCAATCATTAATATTATATCAAATATAATACTTACTGGGTTGATGTTTTGAATTCTTATATTTAGTTAAGGCAACATTATTTTAACACTGGTTAAAGAGATTGAATTTACTTTTTCGACAGCCGATATACCTTGATGTTTGACCCATTATATACGCAGTCAGTTCTTGATGGATACACACTCTTGAGATTACCCTCCGTGTCTACAACTGTGACCTGCAATTATGAATGAAACTTTCAATTTTTTTACATTTGAGAACAAATCATGTCTTTTGCGATAGATAGACTTCTTTCACTACCTCTTCACTTCACTCCCCTTATCACTTTCGATAAAGAAAAAAGTAAAAACCACCGAAATTTGTTTCCTCATATTTTTAACAGGAATACATTCTTTGACGTATAACACAAAGTACATGTTATTATTATGAAAGTGTGTATTATCTCTTAACAAATAAATTTACAACACAAACCTGCTGTACTGTTAGTAAATGGAATCCATCATTGGCGTCTGACTCTTGACCTATGCCAAGTAGAAGACACTCCTCGAGAAATTTGTCCATCGCATTCTTGCAGGCAGACAGAGAGACATTTGATGTTACTTCCACAAACATTGACTTAGATGCACTCGACATCTGTATAATTCATTTCATCATATTATTTGTAAAACCCTAATGTAATTAAGATAAATTGGTATTATTTTGGTGCATACTTTCGAAATAATAACAAATAATATATAAATTTCAACATATGTGGGGTTGCCCTAATAGACTCTCCACAGAGACCTATGACCAGCAATGGGAAATAAATATGCTGTTAATTTAACTTACTTTTACACACAGAAAAATAAAACTATATGTTGGGTCATCTTAACTTCACATAAGTAGTAGTGATCTATTTCTGCATATTTTACTTTACTGAAAAGCTAAATATAATAAAAAAATTAAAAATAGCCTTGTATAACAAAAGCTATATTTATTCATTTACTTATTAATGCTCAATTGCTCCACCTTTAGCTAAGGGCTGCAATAGGCAGACTTAATACCTAGAGTCATTCTCTCTGAAAGTCAACCCAAGTCATGGTGAAAAGTATATGGTGCTAAGGTGCTAACCAAAGAATCAAAGAAATAATAAAAAAAATGATTTTAATACAAAATTTACATTTTATATACAGGGAGATTTTTTGAGAAGTGCCCAAATATATACAGGAGGTTCAGACTTGGTAGTATAATCGTTTATTGAAATAGTTTTTTTCCAAAAAAATGCCATTCTATTCCCTAAAAAACAGAATGTGTTGACAATGCGGTAATCATTCATAAATACCTAAATTTTACCGTGCAAGAATTTGTGTGCGTGTTAGTTATGAATGATCGCGCGTAAAATAAATGAGTTGCGTATAAATCACGCACTTTTTGAGTAAGTGATTTTAAATATTTATAATTTTTTGTATAACATTATTATGTATAGAATTTAATAAAAAAAATTGAAACACTTAGAAAAGCCACCCCGTATAAGAGAAATAATGAAATAATTATATTATTCAGCGTATGCTATAAGGAAAATAAGATGTCTAACTGATGTAAAAACGGCTAGAATTGTGTATTTTAGTTACTTCCATAGCATAATGTCATATGGTATTTTGCTATGGGGGCACGCGGCCGATATAGAAACAATTTTTATTTTGCAAAAAAGGGCCATAAGAACTATTTATAATCTAGATTTGAATAGATTTGAATGCATCTTTGAGAGAGAAGTTTAAAGAAATAAATATATTAACCTTAGCCTCTCAATATATATATGAAAATGTTATGTATGTGCATAGAAATATTAATAATTTTGATAAGAATACTGATATACATAATGTGAACACTAGGAACAAACACAAGCTTGTAATGCCAGTTACTAGACTCCATAGAGTAAGTAACTCGTTCATGGGGCGGTGTATACGCTTTTACAACAAAATCCCAGTAAATGCGCAAAACCTGCCTATTAACAGGTTTAAGAAATTTATTAAAGAAAAACTTTATAAAAAGGGTTATTATAATACAAATGAATACATTAATGACAATAACCCCTGGGAATGAGTTGATCGCTCCCAAGCTATTTCTATTTCTAAAAGGAAAAAAATCAGTTGTATAATATTTGAATTTTTTGTTAAGAAAAAAAAATGAATTACAAAAAAGAGGATACCTACGGAGTTTCTTTCGCCTGTTTCTTCTCCGCTAGAGAAACCTCATTACGAAACGGTGGTAGATTTAAAAAAAAAAATGACTATTGACAAATGAAATGTAAGTTTCTTATGTCGATGAATAAATGATTTTGATTTGATTTGATTTGATTTTGATTGAATGTCTACTGTACCAACTAACTATACAATATAACCAATATATGTAGTATTTACATACATACATACAAATAATCATCATCATCTATAATACATAAAATGTAATCTATTTAGTTGAAAGTGAATTCATAGTTAGATATTTCAATTTTATTGGAACAAGTAGAAAGAAGAATCTGAAAAATGTGATATGGTTGCACAACCAAAAATTGGCATGTTGTAAAATATATACTTTGGTAAATGGAAAATGTTTGGGTGAGTAAACTTTAATTTCAGTCTGGTACCTTTGTATCTTCGGAGTTGGTGATTGGAGGGAAACTGATAACTTTCCCACTGGCATCTTCCAAGCATGGGTACTTTGGTTTGCCTTCCAATAAGTATAAATACCTGCAAGAAATATTACTTATGAAACAAATGCTTTTAATAACTCATGAAGTCAATAGGTTAGGGTAGAAGTATTTTTTAATTTTGATTCATCTGGAGAGTAAGTTATATTAAAGTTTTAACCACTAAGTGGGGTTGCCATAACATATGTATGTTGTTAATAGTATTGGCTAGGTTTTTAAGATCAGCCACCTGCCAGCCTGAATCGAACACACAACTCCCTTAATTAAATTATTTGTAAGATAAAATTGAGATATGTAGTAATTGAAAACCTACTTATGAATTCCAGAGTATACATTTCTCTTCTTTTCTTTCCTTAGTGCCTCTGCTTCTGCTATTAGTTGCTGGAACAGCTGCTCTCCCGTAAATTGACGAGCTCTAGATAATGGTGTCAGCTTCAGGGCTTTAGGGGGGTTTTGCAGTGTACATCAGGTCACCTGAAGTAATTGAAAATTGACTTTTAGTATAAATAACTTGTCATAACTTTTATTCCATATGTTGTAAATGAAGAAAGCTTATCTAAAAGTTAACAGAATATAACAGGACAAAAACACTGAAAGTTAAAGCAGGCAACCTAGCCATTTTAATTAGTAATTACACTAACCTGGAGCTATTTTACTAAGGTCATGAGTAGCAATTGTTGCCATGTTTCTTTTCTCACAAACTGTGTCATGCAGTTTTGTTTGCAACTGTATGAACTTCTTAAACAACTCATCTGTTATATTCAGGTCATTTACAATGCAACAAAGTATGTATGGGCGTACTGCCGCAACTTCCGATTCAATAATTTTAACCCTTATAGTATCATCCTCCACATGCAATATCTTCAAGGAGTGACAGAGACTGCAGATTTCATCAGGCTGTGGCTCTTCTTGTTTCTTTCCTTTCTTGTTTTTACCTTTGCCTGCAGGTTGGGACTGGTCTGATTTCGGACAATGCTCCCTGATATAATCTACAATCTGTTTTGTGCGGCACTGGTCGACTAGTTTCATCAGCCTCTTGTCTGATAATTTGTTGCCCTTAAGATTCAATTCTGCGATGAAGAAATATTATATGTAAACAGAAAGCACATTAAAATACAATATAGAAGTATAAATGCAAATACAAATTACATCATAATTTATGTGTCATACATCATCATACATAAGAAATATGATGCAATATATAATTGATAATTATATTTTATTTTAGTGGTAGTGGTTTCATGCAAATATTGCTTCTGTTTTATAGAAAATATTTTAAAAGTTAATTATATAAACTGTTTAAACTTAATTCTTATATTGTTAAATATCTAAATTAAGTTTGAAGTTTTATTGCACATTGTGATGTTATTTACCTTTTAATTTTGTTAGATTGGATATTTCTCCAGGGATAACTTTCAGTTGATTGTCACCGATGTCGAAATTTTTTAGACCAGGCAATGCACGCGCCACGTAGTTGGGCATAGTTTCTATACAGTTTCCTTTTAGTTTTAAATCCGTTAAATGTGGCAAATTCGCGTTTTCTATGTCCAAAAAGTTGGATAACTTGTTGTTTGATATGTCCAAAGTTATTAAATTTGGAAGATCGCCAAAAGTTGGCAACGCTTCAATTTGATTGGAGCTAAAATTTATGTTCATCAACTCTTTCATTTTATTAAGACTTTCAGGAATTTTTGTTATTTGATTGCGGGATAAGTCCAATACTTTGAGTTTCGGCAGTGAGGTTATATTTTCGTTAAATTCTTGAAGCTTGTTTCCAAACAAAAGAAGCGATTGCAAGTTAACGAGCAGTTTTATATCGTCAGGTATAGCAGTAAGACACGTGTCGCTGATATTTAAAAGGTTCAAATTTGTCAACTGAAAGACAGATTTGTCTAAACCCTCTTCAGAAATTCGTTTTGAAATTGCGGCACCTGCTAACTTTATTTCATGTCTATTTTCTGCTTTAGCAGTCAATACTTCTTGCCATACACCCATGTTAATACAATATATTTAAAAAAAACTTGTATTTAATAACTATTAAGGATTTTTTTAATAACAAACCACGTTAGCCAATTCAAAGTAGAAAATAAATAGTACGAAAGAGCGACATAGAACTTGTGGTAATGTGACAGTTGAGGTTGAGTTGACAGTTGCGATTTGCGAACTTGCGAAGATAAAAATATATACAATGTACATAGATTATACACATTTGATATTAATCAATTCACATTATCTTCATTACATTGGTAACACTTATAATTGATCGGAATTTAATGTTTTTATTTTTAATATAGTATAATAGAATCACGTTATGATACTATCTACCAATTAATTCTATAACCAATAAGGCGACTTACCTCTCAAACCAGCGTCTACTAAAATTATATTATGAAGCAAACTTCATGACTGAAGAAACTGCATAATAGGACGCTCGCAAGGACTTAGCAATACAAGCTCGAACGTGTCTATGATCGAAACAAGGCCACCGCGCTTACAATGGCAGATTTAGGCAAAGTATGGCCAAAATATTTAGGATGGCTAAAATTTAATAACGATTATGTTTTATTTCGAACCTTACTCGTGATTAAATCGCAATTTCTTCACGCCCTTAGAGAAAAAAGGTCGTGGAAATTGCATTATCCACTGCATTTAAAGCCGAGGTTTTTTTTATGTGAGAGAGTGGCAAACGAGCTGGTGAGTTACCTGATATTAAGTTATAACCGCCGCCCATGGACATTTGCAACACCCGTAAGGTTGCAGACGCGTTGCCACCTTTTAATAAAGTGGGCCCCAGCTACCTCACTCACCGAACGAAACGCAGAAGTGTAAAACTTCTACTTCATGCCGGTCTTCTGTGAGGTCGTGGTACTAACACGGTCTGACCTACCCATTCGTGCAACAATGAACACTGTTGCGTGGCCCTACCACAGCATAAAGGTTCGAAGATGTTCATGAGGAGTCATTCAATCGTATCGTAAGTTAGACGATTTCCCGTTTTTCGTCTATTGGGTTTGCGGAAATAGAGTGAAGCGTTTCATCGTGTAGGGGATGGCATCATCAAGTTATATTTGTGTTTCTTCATCAAGCTTTTCTCTCCAAAGTCCGTTAATTGTGTGACCGCGGATCTCTTCCAGATTGAACCTGTCAAAGCCTAACAGCGTCACACTTTATAAATACATATTTTCAACAATATACAAGTAAAAATATGAAAATCTCTCTGTGTTTAATTTACAATTTTAATATTATTATTACGAACAATTTTAATATTATATTTAATTAATATAATTATTATTATTGCCCTTAACGGAACAATTTAACAGAGAAAAGTCATATTTATGTACATTTCGTTGGACAGAAAGTACCTAAGAAAACCTTATTGGTGGAAAATCTTTCGATTCATTTAACGAGTTTAGATAAGCGTTTCAAAACTAATTTAAAAACGAGCAACGTACACAAATTATCAATTAAATTAATTAAAATTTGTGTTCGGATTATAAAGACTGATAACGTTATCAATTAATCTAAATTCTCTATCAGTTAATTACCGGATAGTCTTAGGTATCAGACCAAAAATTTAATTTCATCATTAATAGTATTTGAGACGGGATGGCTGCTTGGACTCTTTCAGTGTTTTTCTTGGCGGTCACTGCGGTTTCGGTAAATTACTTGTCACTATCATTATCAGTCTTAAAAAAAACATGTCCAGTATTTAAAACACACGTTTTGGGTCATAAAATAAATACTCAATCATATAATCGGTTTACCACTTAGACTATAACTTCCAGTAATTCAAACTGCCACTACAGCTAATATAAGCGTTAGGACTTTTCGTGAAGGATGGCATGACGTAATTGGTTGATTCTTTTTACTAAAATTTCATTTAAAACTCGAGATTTTTGTTACGATTATCTATATTTTAAATATAAAATCGTTTCGAAATTTCTAACTGCTATTATAATAACTTTGGTATTTTGTTACAATGACATTAGGCTAAGTTTATGTATCTTTTTATGTAAATTTTTATCACCTATAATTATTCTTTAATGCTACTTTAAGAACGGAGTATTTAGATGAAATGTGTAGATAAATTGGTGTGGAAATATACAATGTTATTAAATTATACAATCATTGTTGACTAATAACTCTCAACTCAACCCAAAGTTTCTAAACCCAAGACTGGTCAAAGAGTAAAGAAACATTAAGTTCGAATATTATTTACCAATGGTCTGGGTTTAACCATTTTATCCGGTCAGAAGGGCCAGAATATTTTATCACCCAATCCAAGATCACGGCCCAATCACAATGGCTCCTTTGAATCCTTCATATATTCGTGTATCAGTGGATAGCAACAGGTTTGCATGTTAATCTAAATTATTGATTCGCTCATAAAGGCACCTCATTTTTGACTTGAATTAGGGTCAATGAACTGTTATAAATCTAGTGCTATAACTGGCACATTAGTTTAGTTCAATATTTGGAAAGAAATAACTTTGCTGTTTCCTAAATTCTCACGCCAGCGATCGTTTTAGTGGTTTAATAAATCAAAGAATTGTTAAATGATTATTTAAATGAGGCCTTTTTTAGATATTTATGACTAAAAAAATATTGGTTTTCCAGGCGTTCGCTGACCCGAGATTGACTTTCCCGGAGAATGTGCAAGGAAGTGAGTATTTTTATCGGAATAATTTTGTACATACCCTACTTAAGTGGTGCGTTGCAATTTTATGAACTAATATGCCCGTAGGTAAGTTAATACGCTCGCTTCTTATAATAACTCTACTTGATTAAACTAAGTTAACGCGACGATACTGGCGCAAATTATTATAATTAACGTGCTGACTTAACATGTGCTCGACATTAAAGGTGTTAACAAACACTTAAAACCTTATTAAAGTTAAACGACACTTATAGCTAAAATGCAGTCAACGTAAGTTATAAGTATATACTCGTATGTTATTCCACAAAGAGTCAAAAATGTATGTTTATATTATCTTAAAACTGCATACAATACCAGAAGATATTGCAGAAGAACAGATTTTTTCTTTTTACCCCCAAAGGTGAGATTTCATTAAGAAGGTCGCACATGACGGGGTTTAACTGATGGTAAATATCACCGCTGGCCATGTGAACTACGTTCTACGCTTTAAGGATGTTTTAGGTTTATTGGTTTAACCTTTGAAAGGTTAGCCTTTGGTTTATAAAAGCAATAGTATAAATATTTCCAATTTCTATCCGATTCTCTTTGAGGTCCAGTGCCAGATTAAGCAAGCGCGTGTCCCTTAGCAAATTCTTAGCAGCCCTCGATTTGCTATGGATTCTTAAGTATAAATTGGTAAAAAAACAATTCAATACTCTTACTTATTTTTTTTTATGCGAAAAGTTGTCAAACGAGCAGACGGTTCACCTGATGTTAAGTGAATACCACCGCCCATGGACGCTTGACAACTTTTTAAAAGCTCCGGCTACCTCACTCACCAGACGAAACGCGAAAGTATTTGTCATACTTCCACTTTACGCTGGTCTTCTGTGAGGTCGTGGTACTTAACCGGACGGGCCTACCCATTCGTGCAACAGCCGAGGCTGCTGGGTGGCCTTACCACCGTAGTAATAAGTTTCACTAAAAATATTATGGCTTAGGCAGAGATGAGTGGGTTAAAATAATATGCGGGGCCCCCTTTGGCGCGGTGGCCGTAGCAATCGCTACTCTTGCTACGTGGTTATTCCGGCATGCTGGGGTCTGTTAGTTTTCCCGTGTATTCGGGTATCGTGTAGCAACGAGTCGATTCGTGGCTCTACCATATTGCTATTTACAGGAGAAAACCGGATTGTGTCCGGCTGGGAGGCGGAGGAGGGCCAAATTCCTTACCAGATCTCGCTGAGGATGGTCAACCCGGTCGGAGGCGTGAGCGCCTGCGGTGGTACTATCATCCACTCCGAGTGGGCTCTCACTGCTGCCCATTGCACTGCTAGGTAAGTCTTTGACACAAGACGCTGGTGGGGGCTTACTCTGATTCTTGGATGTGGAAGTGGATCTTGCTTAAGCTTAGAAAGGGTTACATACTTATTGAAGCCTATAATAATCTACTATATACAATATTGTATAGTACCCTATTGCTTTCACTAAGTATTTTGAATACATCTTCACTGTTTCACAGTTAGTTACAAAAATATTTTTTACGGATCAACAAGCAATTGTAATAGGCTACTGTGCATAATAGTACAGCGAAAAAGGTTTCCAAGACGTCAATTTTATAACAAAGTCCAATATACGACTACATCTGGTAGGGTAGGGTAAGGACTCGGCAAATACCCCGGCGAAACATATCTCGTGTAGTTTTGTCGAGAATGTGGTGCGAACTTTAGTGGTTCGTGCGACAGGGATAGACGCGTTATGAAGCCAAAATTAGCCGATTGTCTCTTTCCAAAGGTGCAATATTTATCTCCGAACATTGTCCCACTGTTGGCCAATGCCTATTTACTGAGGGTATCAGGGCATAGTACACCACGCGGCCACATCGCCAATCCGCAGGCGGACTTCACATATCTTCTAAAGATTTTTTTTATTATTAATTCGAACGCATGCAGGTTTTCTCACGATGTTTTTGTTCGCCGATGAGCAGGTGATAAGTTATAACTTAAAATTAACAATTTCTCAGAACTCAGGTTGCTCGAGTATATGGAATTAAAAGCGAGCGCTCGAACAATGAGCTATCGCCGAGAACTGCATTACATTTGATTGCCATTTATGAATTATCATATCTTAAACACAAAGACCCTTAATTGATTAATTTAGATAAAAATATAAACAAAAGTTTGCTAATAATACATGTCGCCGGAAGTAAACAATAGGGTATCGTTAATTGACTACAAGAAAAAATCGTACTTTTATGTTTCGGATTGTTCATTTGAAAGAAAATACTTATCTTATCTCAATAAATACTAATCTATGTAGGTTTAATTTGAGTTTTAATTGTTATATGTATAACAAATAACGTCATCTATTTTATGTCTTTGTTTAATTCGCTTCAAGTACATAGTACGTAGTACTCATTATTCTTTTATATTATTACACAGAATTTAAAGGCAGCACTGTGCATAAATTATAGATGATGATTAATATGCGAGGTATGTGGCGAAGTATAAGTAATTAGAATTTTCGTAAATACAAAAAAACCTTGTGTATACTATCGTACCATACACACTAATTTGCTATATACGTAACGTCCGCGTAACATCCCGGTATATTTCTCCCAGCCGCGTGACGATTGTGATTCGAGTGGGCACCGTCAACTTGACGAGGCCGGACAGCATCTTCGAGACGACCACTTACTACAACCACCCGCTGTACAACGAGGCATTCCAGCAGGTGGTGCAGCCCCACGACATCGGCCTGATCAAGTTCAACAGGAAGATCGAGTTCTCCGGTATTGTATCTCGGACCTTCCTCCTGTTTCTAGTCTTATGAGGTTTCAGGAATGGCCACCACTCAACCCTGAATATTCTATTTTCGAGTAATAATGGTATTAAAGGTATAAATACTAGGAACAAATATAAATTAATGCTACCCTTATATAGATTGTGTAGAATATTTAAATCTTCTATGAGACAATGTATACGTTTCTACAACAAAATCCCAGAAAACCTCCAAAATTAATCAGTTGCTAAATTCAAAATTATAAACGAACATTTGTGTGTTAAAGGCAAAATGATAGCATTAGTGATTATTTAAATGATAACACATTCTGGAAATGAATTAATCGCTCGTTCTAGCTTTTGTTTAATGAAATTTTGTAAAAAAAAAATTGTCCCGCGAGTTTCTCACGTCGGTTCTTCTCAGATTTTTTTCAGAACCGGTAGTAGTATTTTTTGACAATCAATAAATAAGTCTAATGCTTCTCTACATTGAACAAAGACATTTGAATTTGATTATGAAATCCTATTGTTACTATTCTGGCGTAGAGGCAAGAAACGAGTTCTTTTCTTTTTCCAGTCCGTGTCTCGTCTATTACAAATGTTTCTTTCTTTTCAGTGTTGTTAATACTTGAATATAGAGATGTCAAGATGATGAATACGTATATTAAATTTCCGTTAAATATTTTAGCGAAGAAGTAATATAATAAATCGAAAGAGTGCACCACAAATTTATTATTTTCTTACAGACAAGGTGCAGCCGATCAGATTGCAGCCGTCCAGTGACAAGAACAGGAACTACGATGAGATCAGGCTCGAAGCCAGCGGCTGGGGACGCACGTGGACTGGAGGTGGGTGTGTGATCGGAAGTGCTTTTCGAATGGCAGCCTCGTACTGGCCATCGCAGTGTTGAATCCACTAGATGGAGTGACGACCTGGGCAAGTGTGCGGGAAGTCGACGGATGCAGGTGGCTCAGGATCGTACTTCGCGGCGGTCTGTGGCCTTTGTTCAGCAGTGGACTCAAACGGGCTGAAATGATGGGTGATCGGATCAATTTCAACCGAATTCACAATATGATTAGAAGTCACAGAAATGAACCACAAAGTCGGGAAAATGATCTTTCGTTCGATTCCTTATTTTGACGCGCCTTAACTTCACACTTATGCCCTATGTATATTATACGTATTATGTATTATTTATCACTTTCTACATCGAAAGGATTATCTTTGTCTTTGTCATTTTTCTAGTATAATTACCAGTATCCGGAGGACCGAGCTTTGCTCGGTTTGTTTTTTTTTTTTGGTAAATCGTGTATTTTGGAAATTACATTTAGATACAAATTACTGAGTAATGAAATGTGCATAATATTTTTCGATCTTACCGACGTAATAATAAGAAAATATGAACAGATGTTTTTCACAAAAGAAATAACTAAAAAAAAGGGGAAAAAAATAACAAAATCATAAATCGACAAAAAATTAAAAATAAAGAAAGCAATGATCTGGAATCGAAAAAAGAGTAAAAAAATAAATGTGTAAATGATCGTGACACGAACCACGGCCGTCTGTTTTGGGGCCGCCCGATTACCGACCGAGCTATTATGACATTTTCTCTTGCGGCGAAATTTATCGTCATATTCGAATTATATTTTTCATTCCCTGAAAACAGGGATAAAAGGGCATTTTCTAAAAATGAAACCTAGCTAGATCGATTTTTCGCCCCCGATACTACGCACATACAAAATTTCATGAAAATCGCTGTAGCCGTTTCCGAGATTCCGATTATATATATACAAGAATTGCTCGTTTAAAGGATACGATAAATTTGCTTGTTTTACTTATGTAACTTGCCGTCGTCGTTTACATGGAATGTAAACTGACTGATACAATAATATCTTTGTATTAACTTACTATAAAGGCGTTGCCATTCCGCTTTGTGATGATAAATAAGTAAATAAATCACGTGCGTGATTTTATACTACGTCTAGCTGCAGCCCGCGACTATGACCGCGTAGAGGGGTGAAAATTTAGGGTTGTATGTATGTATGCTGTATCATAAAAAATAAAAACAAAATTTTTTAAATACAAAATAAAAAAAAATAGGGGTGGACCACCCTTAACATTTAGGGGGATGAAAAATATATGATGTTGTTCGATGTTGTCCGATTCTCCACCCTGGCCGACATGCACACAAAATTTCACGAAAATCGGTCGAGCCGTTTCGGAGGAGTTCAATTACAAACACCGTGACACGAGAATTTTATATGTTAGATAAAATTTTTGGACTGTTTTGATATCTCGTGCACTTTATACTTTCGCAGGTGCATCACCCGAAAACCTCAACTGGGTGTACCTGGTCGGCGTGACGAACGCCGTCTGCTTGAACGCATTCAGCAACAGCCCTATCATCGTCGACTCGACCATCTGCGCTAGAGCCTATAACGTCTCCAGCCAGTCCACTTGCCAGGTACAGTGACACAGCTTTTTTCGTAGTACTGTTTTTTGACAATCAGTTAGTAAGCGCAATGCTTCTATATTGAATAAAGATATTTTTGAATTTGAATCTCTAATCTACACCAACAATAGAGAAGTTGACAGCATTTGCAATCAGTCATTTTCCAGGCCAGACGCACTGCGGATGGAAATCACGGGCTTTATCCGCACTGACGCAGTGTCTATAAATTGTTTGCAATAATCCACTGTGGTAGGGCAACGTCACAGTCTTCGCTGTTGCACGAATGTGCAGGTCCGTCCGGGGTAGTACAACAAACTCACAAAAGAGCGGCGTGAAGTGGAAGTGTAATACTTCTGCGTTTCCTCTGGTGAGTGAGGTAGCCGGGGCCCAATTTGTTATAAGTTGGCAACATACCTGCAACCCAGCAGTGTTGCAAACCTTACGGTGGTCGGCGGTTATCACTCAACATCAGGTTAACCATCAACTCGCTTGCCATTTTTTCACATAAAAAAATATGTATCACCCTTATCATCAGATACGCTCAACTGTAAACTATCCCTACTCTTAGGCAAGCATTTGACGTGAAACGCCGGTTGAAGTCTCTGAGTATGGACGTTAATGGCCAACGCGTGAAAGAGAAAATTTATCCTACCATTAACATAACATGATGTATGCTTCAATCATAGCCGTTTGGTATCCAATTAATTGACATTAATGATATGTTGCGTATGGCATGAATGCCCGACAGCGAAGTTAATGGCGTAGAAATGCGTTGAAAAGTACGCTAGGCGTGGCTCTGAATGACACGTTACTAAATTATGAAATTAGGCATAGGAAAGTGTGAGTTAAAAGATATTGTTGTAAGGAATGTGCAAATTATTATTCTATAGTTTGGACACGTGTGATGGATGTGTTAAAAAAGACCGAGGATAATAGTTTAAGTAGCAAAATTCGGGTTTTTCAATTTTTTGTGAATTATTTTTCTTTATTGAATGGTAGACGCACAGATGAAATTTGCCCATCTGTAAAACTCCAAAAAAAAATGGAAAGCGTAAATAATACATGAACGTATTAATGAGTGTATAATCGAACCCACTTTTTCTGGATTCGCGCCCAGATTGCGGAATATTTTAACGAGGCACATTCTACAAATTTTAACGTTTCACATTAAGTGCAGAGATTAGCACTATAAAAATTCAAATATCTTTTTGCTTCGGAAATAGGGGGCGATGTTGATGGTCAACTCAATAGCAGAGACTTCTGGTGGAACCGTGAAGTTGACAGCGTATAATTGATTTTAAGCACAGTATCCTTGTCATATATTTTTATTGAGGGGATAAATTGATACTCGATTTGTTTTTAATCGCCCCAGGGAGACAGCGGTGGTCCTCTAATTACCGAAGATGTGGATGGCCTCCCCACACAAGTCGGGATTTCCTCATTCGTCTCCTCAACTGGCTGTCACACTGACTTCCCCGCAGGTAAGAGGTTGTTGTGGTTTAAGTCCAACCTGTTCAGGATAGTTATGAGGACGTCGATTAAAATATCGAATTCGGAGAGTTAAGCTATCGGTATAACGTTAAAATTTGTAGAAAAATTGACGAAAAGTTTTTAACCGCCTCGGGAATCGAGTCATCCCGTGTAGCGAAAACCTTTAACCACTAAGCTAAATTGCTGATTGCTGCTTCGACGAAAATCTCAACGTATTTTATCCTTGGCAATTGCGCCACGGAGTCTTCATACATTATCTAAAGTGCAGAGATTAGTATTATAAATAATTATCATATATAATACTTTCTATGTTATAAATAATCATTTAAACTAAGATAACATAGGCCTCCCCCATAGACTGCCAAGAAGTACGATCCTGAGCCACCTGCATCCATCGACTTCCCGCACATCTGCACAGGTCGTCACTCCATCTATTTGGTGGTACTCTAACAAGCTGAAATGGTGATGATGATGAAATTAAGAGATGTTTAAGCTTCAAATGTCGGTATCAAGAATAGAATCACGTAAACTAAAGAATAGAATCACGTAAACTAAAGAATAGAATCACGTAAACTAAAGAATAGAATCACGTAAACTAAAGAATAGAATCACGTAAACTAAAGAATAGAATCACGTAAACTAAAGAATAGAATCACGTAAACTAAATTCTCCGCTCGTAACATGTATCCATTCTAAAATTATTAAAGCTTCCGTGAGACGTTATTAACGACAACAAAACGGCATAATACATCGTACGTATCGGAGGTCCTTCATCAGGATTTTCGTAGATCCTATAAAATTTGTGCGTTCTGGGTCGAAACGTAATAGCAGTTGGCAGTAATAGAAATAGAAAAAACGAAAGAAAGAAAGAAAGAAAAAAAAAAATATTGCACAAATACGCCACATGTACATTAAATGGCAAACAAAACTGAACTATTTGTACAGCAGCCGCGGATCTTGATGTATATTTTGGAGGGATATTAGAGTTTGTCGAGGACGCAATAAGGACATATGGTAAAACATAAAAAAGTTTTATACGAATATTGAATATAATGAATAGGAACATTTTAGAATAGAATAAATAGTAAGATTATTGATTATTAAGGACTCTTAGAATAGAATAAATAGGATTATTTTATCTTGTTATGGTCGTGATCAAAAATGAAGATTTAATTAAGGAACCTAGTGACTTATCAAAAGATCTTGACAGGGATTTATGACCCCTCCCATGGGTCGGCGCCTGCCATCAAGCAACGTGGTTACAGTGTACCTTAAAACCGTCCCACAGCTTACCATGTGTGATGCGAGTTAATTGGTGAAAGAGGAATATCGCACTTTTAATACCTCAATTCTTTTTCCAGGATTCATTCGTCCCGGCCACTACCACGACTGGTACTTCGAACTGACCGGGATTAACTTCGATTGGGAGCGCGAGCCGACTACAACCGAACCGGAAACCGACGAGCCGGAACCGACCACCACAGAAGCAGAGCCGGAAGTGGCGCCGGAAGTCGAAGAAGAACCCGCGCCAGCTGATAGCCCGAAAACCCTTTCTTCTTTGGATTTTTTTTAATGTCAATCACAGTCGCACATTTCAAACGTATATGAATGTTTATTAATGTTTGAAGTTACATGTACCTATTATATGTGACACTGATGACTAATCAAAAACAAAAGGAATGTGTTTCAATTGCTCCCCTAAATACCCCAATTGCTCCCCTACAGTTCTTGCGTTTTCAATAAATGAATTTTGTGATCATAAAGTTTTATAATCTTAAAATACACTTGCCGATTCGTTTTGCTTTTTAATAAGATAAAAAACTGTACGTTTTATGAAATTAAATAATGTGTCAGCCCCGATCAGCTGTGGTAGGGCAAAAGGTTTTCAACGCATCTGTAACCCTCGGGTGTACCAGATGTCCATGGGCGGCGGAATTCACTTAACATGAGGTGAACCGCCTGCTCGCTTGGCAACTTTTCACATAAAAAAAAGCTTAATCTCAATTTAATTCAATACAGCCTGTTGAAATAAGAACTACACGTCACCATCAGAATACCTGGTCTGTTTTTAGGGACCGTACCCAATGGAAACAAAACTCTATTACTAAGACTCCGCTGTCTGTCTGTCCGTCTGTCACCAGGCTGCTCTCATGAATCGTGATAGTTTCTCTGCGTGATAGAATGCACATCATCTGCGGCGGAACAATGGTGATCGACATTACCGTAAGGATTGATAAATCGACGTGATACCAACCACACAGATCTCAGAAGAATAACAGTGGCCACACTTCCCTCTGGAGAAGAGCGCCTACTTTCACAAAGTGACGATAATTCCGGGCTTTTAGGGATGCTTGATCAAAAAAATCAAAAATATATTCTAGAATAGTCGTAAGGAATTTATTTTTTAAAAGAACATTTATAAAACAAAAGGAACATAATCTCTGAACAAAATAATAATAAATCACGTTTACGCTTTGACGACCGATCACCGGCTCCCCAGAGCGTAGCTCCGCACGAGTTTTTATAGGCAACTTCAATAATTTAACTCCCATACTATTAATTGTCTATACTCCTACCATACTATTGATCGTCTATACTCATATACTGTTAAACCTAAAACTCCCATACTAATAATCTTCTATAATATTTATTCAAATAGACGCCTGCGCGCTCTTATGAATCGTTAAATACATCAAATTATGTATATAGGTTCGTAAGGTACCACTTGCTATTTTTAAGGAGATTTAGGTTTGAAAAATTAAAACCGGTCAAGTGCGCGTCTACTTCGCGCACGAAGGGTTCCGTACCATTATTTATAAAAACGGCAAAAAAATTATGTCTGTTGTATGGGTCTTCTTTAAATATTTTTTATTTTATTCTGTTTTTTAGTATTGATTGTTATAGCGGCAACATAAATCAACATCATCTGTAAATTTTCAACTGTCTGTATCACGGTTCATGTGATACAGCCTGGTGACAGTCGGACAGACAGAGTATGGAACCCTAAAAATTACATTTCTCCGTGAAATAATCTTGAAAAGGGATCAAACGCGCAACGATTTGCGCTCACGTATATTTGATTCTAACACGCGTGTACTTTTAACAGGATGGGTATAAGACGTTTCGAATTTCTGGAAAATGTAACCGAATATTGGAACGTAATACGGTTATAAAATTTCACGCCGCGCTTTGCGGTCAGGAGGACGGTGCTGAGATTTCTCGACGGGGGAACATTGCGTAGTTTAATTAAGCAACCTCTCCCGTCTTAAACCTTTCAGTGTAGACAGAGATTGCCAAGCCATGTTTCGCAAAAATTCTTTACTTTCTGACATCTGTTGTTTTATGTTTCTATTCTTTCTTTTCGCTCGTATCCCAACTAGATGGGGTCAGCACAATATATGCGTAACTTTGTTACGGCCAATTAGTACTCTTTTACAACCAGCCGTTTGCATTACGTCAATCCTGCTTGGACCAAAACTTAAATTCCCGAATTTACGAATGCAGTGTAGCATTCATGGTCACGGACAATATTTTTTTTGTGAGAAGGTTGTTGCACCTGATGTTAAGTGGTAACCGCCGCTCATTGACTTTTGCAACCCCCATGGTTGCAGATGCGCTGTCATTTTCCAATAAAGTGGGCCCCGGCTACCTCACTCACCAGACGAAACGCACAAGTATAACGGCTACCTCACTCACCAGACGAAACAAGTATAACACTTCCATTTCATGCTAGTCTTCAGTGAGGTCTTCAGTGAGGACCTGCCCATTCGTGCAACGAAGACGTTAAACAAAAGAGTGCGGATAAACAGTCAAATAGAAAGATGAGGCAATGATTAGTTATGATTAACTTTATTTTTTGCGATGATTAAGCCCGAGCGATACTAACATAGGGGCATTCGTAACGCCGGACAAGATGTCTTTAATTTTTAGTTACATTAATACCTCTAACCTTCGACTACCTCTTTGATGGGTTAAAATGATATGTAAAAGGGGTACACCTATTCTCGGAACTATGATGACTCTGTGGCGCAGTTGTCAAGTCAGTTGTTTCGGATCTGGGTGTTTGTCCATCTAAAATTTATGTTGGCAAAACGCTCTTACAACACGGGATAATTTCGTTCTAAAATAGGGGCAGTATTTAAAAAAAAGGTTTGCTCATACTTCCTGCCTCGTTTTTACACAACACTATCCCAAAATAGTCATCTCTCGTACCACAAGCAAGTGCCGGTGTTTCAATTGCCTGTTACGACAAATTCCGTTTCCATCTGAAGGTCGTCGACGCATCGATATTTCCTCATCTAGAGTCGGGTATCTAAAGAGAACTAACTCACGAGAAACTTAATTATTATATAAATAACTAGCTTTTCGCCCGCGGCTTCGCTCGCGTTGAAGTCTTAAATAAATTTCTTTCTTTAAAAAGTTTTTCCAATTAAAATATAGCCTATGTCCTTTTTCAGGCTCTAGACTGTCTGTGTACCAAATTTCATTTAAATCGGTTCAGTAGTTTTGGAGTGAAAGCGAGACAGACAGACGGAGTTACTTTCGCATTTATAATATTAGTATGGAAGTATGTATTTGGTGATGGTATAAACCCGACGCCCATGGTTTTGATACGATTAAAATTCTTATCTTAAAGCACGAAAAAAATATTTAGCTGGGATTTACTATACATTGGTTAAGATTGGTACATCATATTCAGAGGCCCGTTCATAGGGGTATCTTGTGTCTAGTTAGCAGGTGTTATAGATAATAGAAATGTTTGTAAGACTGTTGAATGTCAGACTTGCGACCAAATATTTCTTTTAAAGCGTTAGAAGTGTAATTCCTGTAAGGCCACAAAGAAATGTAAAAATAGGCTCCCATTAGGCGACGTCGTATTGCAGTGGTTGTGTCGCGCGCATGCGTTGTGGGGATGCCAGCTTAGGAAAACGTCTTCCCAATTTCGGTTCGATATTTGTATCGATAATTGTGTTATGTATTTTAAATAATCCTTTATAACAAATAAGAAAATAATTTCACGATTGCCTCTCGTTCGATGGTTAGAGATATAATGTAATATAAAAAACACTATTTTATTATGACATTGACAAAGCGTAGAATATTTTTTTGTTTGAGACGGATAAATAGTTCAAAGCTAAAACAAAAACAAACACAGTACGTAAAAGTGAAGTAACTATTTATAGATCTGTACTGAAGAGATATTGGCCCATTACCCCTCACGTTGTGTCGGCTTTATTACGACCACACTATTTATTGATTACACACAACATTAAAAATTGTATACTATTTAACTTGGTGGACATCGCGCAGAATTATGATTAACTTTGTCGCGAAAGAAATGGTAATAACGGTGTCTAAAACAAAGCAGCTCTTAATGTTCCAAGTATCGAACTGTTATATATTATAGTATATTTTAGGGCTGATGCATTCCATGGCTCTTTGCTTGTCTAAGCTATGTCAGCATATTTGTAGTAGCTAAGCGCATCAGATGGAAGCTAGTTCCAGGTCAGTCGTAAGTCAATCTCAATCCATCTCCATCCATCTAATTTGTGTTTTGTAGCAATTAAACCAGTGTAATAAATAAGGTTCCATTTTAAAAAGGCAATTGCAATATCCCACATATAACAGAACGTTTTAGACGAGCACGGAAACGGGCGGGTGGGCGGCCATATTGCAACACCGCGTCGCATTTGGCGCGCGCGCGAATCGCTCCCTCAAACCATCATGGCGGCCGCACGGAAAGCGCGCCTCGCGTACACTTAGTTAACGGCGGGCCCCGACACTGCGTTGCGTTGGACCGGGCAATAGAACCACGCGACGGCACCGACGATGTTTCAGTGACCGTGTACGCGTCCCGCTACAGTGGGGGATTTCTTTGTGATTCAGTGTGTTCACGTTGTGTTGCATGAGTGGTCCCGATGGGGTGCTGGGCAGTGCGCGGGATGATGGACGCCAGTCACCGGCCAGCACCGACCAACTAACGTTAGTATCGTTAATCAAACGCTAAAACCATTCGCGGTGAGACACCGTCGACGAAGAATGAACTTATCGCTTTCACGTTGCTTCTATTGATTCCGAATGGGAAAATTCGAAAATCGAATTGACGGAAACGGAAGCGCCGCGTCTTTTCTCTCGTTCCGAATTCGAAATTGTGACTAAGCTGCCGCCGCTGAGTAAGTCGTTGAGTAATGCTTTGAAATTCCTCGAAAAGAACACTTTCAATCAAAAACTGAATTTGAAATAAGCGGAGGGGAATGCGGGTTATTAAAAACGACATTTGGTATTCTAGGTAAAGCTATAAGCGCTTAGGGGATAGCGTAGGGTAATTATTAAGGTAGGGCGAAGCCGACGGCCCACCGCACCCTTAAAAATCTTTTGTTACATTGATTACTTTCCATTGTATGGAGCGCCCGTTGTGAAACTATATTTCTGTTTACGTAATTATGAATATTTCATAGTACTGATGAAGGAACAACGAACGAAGCATTACTTTTTCATTAATCTAAACACATAAAGTATCAGCATATAAATCCGTTTATCACAAATAATTTAGAACAAAAATATAAGTTCGGAAATGAAAATTCATTGTACGTTGTTACACATATATTTTTATTATAAATTTTAGTATTATCTAGACTGCAAGATGTTTCTTAATATAAAGAATAACGTTATTACTAACGTAAAAACGAAAGCACAGAGGCTCTTCAAAATTGTTACTTTATATTATTAAACTGATTTCATGACACATAAGTAACGAGAACCGCATAATAGTTTATACAATTTTCAGTTTACTTTAGGATTTATATGTGATGTTATCTATTAATAACGTGTGGAGTAAGAATTACTTATGTTCAGGCAATGCAGCACTGCCACTCCTGGCTGTCCCATGGCAATTTGTGCCAGGTCAGAGAGAGGTCAACCACTCTGCAGTGAGCCGCCAGGATCCGGCGTTTGATGAACTATATATTAAAGATTTCCTACAATCTCTAATATTTGCGTAAATAAAATAATCCGCAACAAGAGCTTAGACATAATCTATATTATGCACAGATTATAGCCAAACTGGTATACAATATTAGTAACATTAGTAGATTATCTCAAATATCTGTCTTGTTCGTCTTGTGACTCTTAAATAAAAACTTGCAATAGCCGTCTGTCGCTGTACGCTTTTTAGTTTCTTCCAATATTGAAACATTATTTGTTTGGCACTTAGCAATTTACGTTATTAGATTTTTTTTTACATCCAATGCTTACTCCCTACTGTGAAGATACTAAAACATGAAAAGGAAACTGTAAAAAGTACCGTAGTTATTTCCTTTTTGCAATTGAATTTGCATTTGGAATACATCCTTTCCCCGTATTCTTTTGTTCCGAACTCGACTAATATCGATCTCTCATTTTGACAGATCTTGAGTGAGAATTGCCACCTGTTTAAGTCTCCCGACGCTCTAATTTCAGTTAACATTTTGTTTGATCTCTCAAATCCTTTGTGGGGGCAACATCTAGTGAAATATTAGCACGTGAGCGATGTTTTAAAAAGTTGGTATTGCGATATTGGATCTTGGTCTTGATTTTTTGTATTTTCATCAAATACAAAAATCACTATATTACATTTGTGACCAGCATACAACTACAATATTTGTCAATATTTGAAGTATCCCTTAGATGAGAGCAGTCAAAGAGTCTACAGAAGTAGCATCCAAAATGCATCCAAAATCTCCTAAGGGATCAAAGTCAAGCCATCGGGTCTCTTGCAATCGTCGCAAAATGACATGGGGATCTTAAATAGAAGGAACATGATAGAACAAGTGCTCCACGGATGATGTCACAAAGCACTTTTTTGATGAGAAATCCCGTGAAGACCAAATTTATCTACATTGACACCACAAAGGAATTTGTGTGGTTGACAAGCCGGTTCCACCTATTCTGGATTCCTGCAATGCATAAGCTTACATCGTTCACAAATAATGTGCCCAAGTTGCTTAATGGTAAAACATGAATCCAATAACTCGATTCATTAAATGATTCGCCTAGAAAACGAACTCTCAGTACACTCTGTTCACATTCAAAAGGCGGAATTCACTTAACGTCAGGTGAACCGTTTAACAATTGTTCAATTCACCTCAGGTGAACTGCCGCTTGGCAATTTTTTTCATATAATATTTTTTTCGAGTTTATCCAATCTTTCGACCAGCCGTTTCAGCTAAATTTCGACTCTTAAAATCCGCGATTGGAGGATAAGCGATACTCATATTCAAGGACGCGACGAGAACGTTTTCAGCGATCTTAAGGGTTGACGAACCTGGTGAACAACAAAATTTATTTGTTCAGAGGACCCTTATTTTCATTTATGGCCTACGTGAATGAACTCATTTGTTCTCTCACTCTCTAGTTTCTGGATACACCGATGCGTTTTGTATGCGTTCGTCTTTATTTTTATAATTTGAAGAAAACCTTTTGATCTCGGTACCAACTTACCTACCTTACCGGTAATTTATCCAATCCAAATATAAAAAATGCCAATAACGCCAATAAACTTGTCTCTGTCTAGTTTTTATTTGCATCTGTGGTATAAGGTAAATCACTTCAATGTTCATGATTCTTTTCTATTATTTCATTAGGAACAGTTATAAATACGTATCAGATTATAAACCTAACCGACAATCTATCTAACAATATTTTGCTTTAAATCTGAGATAACCTTAACGCGTAGATTAAAATACAGATAAATCAATTAAAATTAACATGGAATGTTACATAACAGAAATTAAGATTTAAATATGCAAAACTAAAATGTTGATGTCTTTTAGTTTGTATTTCTTTTATTTAGTTAACGGATAGCAACGGTATGATTTCAATATATTCGAGACAGCAAAAAAATTATTTATTGACCATGTTTCGGCCACGCAGCAGCAGCCTCGGCTGTTGCACGAATGGGCAGGCCCGTAAGTACCACGACCTCACAGAAGACCAGCGTAAAGTGGAAATATGACAAATACTTTCGCGTTTCGTCTGGTGAGTGAGGTAGTCGGAGCCCAATTTTCAAAAGGTTGTCAACGCATCTGCAACACTCGGGCGTGGCAGATGTCCATGGGCGGCGGTATTCACTTAACATCAGGTGCACCGTCTGCTCGTTTGACAACTTTTCACATAAAAAAAATGCCGAAAATTATTTATTAAAAAAATTAAGAATTCGCGATAATAAATAATATTACCTTTTAATAGAACCAATTAACATAAATACCTCCGGTCTAGTTTCGCTTACTATAATTTAATAATTTGGTAATTAGGTATTAATTGCATTTAGCAAGCCTCTGTCGTTTGATGAAGTCGTTGATTTGAAGGCATAAATTAACATATATGACATGTTAGGTGATTTCAATATTTTCATGACGAATATATCCGAACCTTAAAGTAGAAGAAGAGTTAGGAGTTGAAGGAAGAGAATGGAAGGTGTAAAATAGAACTGACAAAGGAAGGAACAAATAAGAACAAACCAACTTTTGATCAAAGGATGAAAATCTCTTTATTGTTACGAAGAAAAAGTTTATCGGACTGAAGAAAAGGATTCCTTATTTTAAGTCGGTAGTCGACTTTTACTACTTCTTACGACTTTAACTGGTTCATAATAATTTAAAAAGTTGTAATTGTAGTTGATTATAAAATTAAAAAAAAAAACTGGAATACTGTGGTTACTTGCATAAAGTAAAGTTACAGCCTATAAATGTCTCACTGCTGGGCAAAGGCCTCCTCTGTATAGATATCAGGGCATTGTCCACGACCGCGGTCCCACTGCGGATTGGCGGACTTCACATATTTTCGAACACAATAACAATTTCATTGGTGCCGGCACCGGCCATCGAACTCACGTTGCTCGAGTACTTACTAATGTTATAAAGGCGAAAGTTTGTATATATGGATGGATGTTTGTTACTCTTTCACGCAAATACTACAGAATGGATTTTAATGAAACTTTAATTGATTTTGAATAAGACATAGGCCATAATTTATAGACATATTTTATGTATATCGGTCTTTCTGTCTGAATGTTACGCCTTCAGCCTATTCTACGCAGACGTAGTCGCGGGCAGCAGCTAGCATTAAACTAAAGGCGAGCTCGGACACTGAGCTATCACGGCTCAATGCTACTTGCATGTTTTAATAAAATAATTTGCTGGGCATATGAATTCATTAAAATTATACTGAGATATAATATTTTCTTTAAAAGGGGGGACAACTGCTATGGAGAGTTATGTCAGCTTTATACTTAAACATATTTATATGTTCTCTATAGTGTTAAACTTTATATTAAAATATGTAGAAAGTGCAAAGATTAGCACTATAAACAATTTAAATTTTTTAAATTTATAGTTGAATAAAACAACTTTATCGGCACGACAGATACACGTTTTTCTGTTTTATCTCTTAAAGTATTAATAAATTATTCAATACGTTAGAAGATATAATAGAAAAACGTGATAAATCGTAAAACAGTTCATTTAAAATAGTGTACAATATTTTATGGAGTAGTCATAAACAATATAAAGATACTTTTATTTTACTGTCACAATATTTATAAGTGCTCAGTGGGTTTGTGATTTTGTGATAATATTCAAAATCAAAATCAAAATCAATGTCTATATTCAACATAGGAGCATTACACTCGCTTATTGATAGTCAAAACACTGAAAAGAAAGCCACTGTACTGAGAAGAACCGGCGAAAGAAACTTAGCGGGCTTTTTTTTTTTACTTTTTTTGTAATACAAGCAGTTTGACATGAATTCATTAAAAATACAATATAAGGACTCTGACTGAAAGAGCCTGGAGCGATCAGTTCATTACCAGAATGTGTTATCATTTAAATAATCATTTATATTATAGTAGCCTTTAACAAACAAACGTTCTTTCACTATTTTTTAAAATTTAGCTATTGATGCATTTTGAACGTTTTCTGAAATTTTGTTGTAGTAACGTATACATT